ATGTTAAATGACAAGACATATGAGTGAGAACTGAGAAGAGATATAAGGTTTATCACTGAGAATGAGATTCTGCCACAGAAATTAGAGGCCCAAAGATATTCATGGAAGAACAAAGCCCTTATGAGCTGGCATTCTCCAGGAAGGGAGACTTTGTGAGGAAGTGATGCTGAGTTGGATCTTGAAGGACAAAGTAGAAGAGGATGACAGAACAGAGAAAGTGTGGGAAGCATCCGAGCAGAGGCATGGCCATGAAGCTGAGCTCTGCACACTAGAGGATACAGATGCCCACACTCCTGCCGGCCTCTGTCTGCACTAGAGCTCCACTCACTGTCCACCGGGAGAGGCTACCTCACACTACTGACCTTTCACCACAGGGGCAAATGCTTTTAGATGTTTCTCTATGACATGGTATCTCAACCATGGCTTTACTGACATTAGAGGGTGAAGAATTCTTTCTTGAGCGGATGTCCTGAACATCGCAGGTTGTTTAGCAGCATCCTTGGTCTCTACCCACGTGATGCCAATAGGAAACTACCCATTCTACAGAGACACCACAAACGTCTCTAGACACAGACATTGCCCACAGGAGTGGGTAGGAGGAGGGAGTAAATCAGCCTCAGATGAGAATCACTGCTCTAGCAGTGGAAATACTTTATATTAGGTCCCCACACACCCCTTGTAATGCCAGAGGTTCACAACTGTGGATGCCAATGGTTAGCAAGAAAATGTGGGAATGCAGTGGAGGGAAAATTACTAACAAAGAGAGAAGATAATGGTGTAGTTATATAATGAACCATATGACCTGTCACAGTAGTAGGGGATTAAATATTTAACCACACATTTTATAGAAATGTCGAGTTGTGTAAAGTTCAGGGTTTTGGTGAATGAGCCAAGGAGGATTACCTGGGGCTGACCTGATCCTTCCTCAGCTTCCAGATCCGGCTCACTGACCCAAGTCAATTGATGGATCCGGTTTAGATTGGATCAAGATATTGGTTACATTTGGGGAACAAGGAGACCCAGGTGGCCCAGTCCCTGATGCACGGGCTCCAACTTCCTCCTCTCTTCACCTGCCCCCTCCCTATTGTGACCCCAAAGTCCTCATCCTGGAACAGAAAGAAGGTGGTGTCACACTGATGTCTGATTTTAGTGTTGGGTTTGATCCCTGCCTTTACTAAAGATTCAAATTTAAATGAGCTTATTTTTCTAAATAGACCTAATGATAAAACATGAAGTATAATCAGTGAATTCTTTGTAAAAATTCAAAATCTGTCCTGTGAAGCAGTTATACACAATAAATTAAGCAGCTACAGATTGACTATTGTCACACAAAGAGCAGAGGTGCACAGGCTGTGCCCTCAAGGAGCATGAACATGGACGAAAGGGCCATGGGATCAGGTCCTGGGATGTCAGGAGAGAGCTGCACATGGAAAGCCACAGGGTCCTGGGAAGAAAGAGATCTCTAGAGATTCAAGGGCCAGGAAAGGGCACAAGAAGTGGGCTGTCTTTGATATGGCGTCGGGAATGAATAAGGAGTTTCAATTCAGTGGGACTGAGGTAAGGACGGTGGGAGAGGGGAGCAAAGGCCTCAAGCAGAAACTGTGGGCCTCAAGCAGAAATTTTGAAAACAGGTAAACATGGGCTGGTCCTGGGTATTGAGCAGACGCCTATGCCAACAGAATGCAGAATATGTTTGAGAAGAAGTTATATGTAAATTATATCCCAATAAAACTCTTCTAAGAAGGAATCAGAAAAATACCAAAAAAGCATGGATCAAATACAGTGCTTTATTTTCAAACTTAGGACTTTAACCTCAGATCAGAATGTGATGATCTCTAGATCTTTTAGAAAACGTAAAGTAGAAGCAGAGTCTTCAGGGGTCTATAATGGTCCTAGTAGTCCTTCAAGGTTTATCAAATCACCTTTCTCAATTTTATAAAATTAATCACTGGCAGCTGACATGTAGATAGCACCTGCCCTGTGCCCAGCCCTGTTCTGAGAACTTACATGTTGTAACACATTCAGGCCTCATATCAATCCTAGGATCATTCCCACTGTACAAAGAGACAGAGCTGTGAAATCTCCACACCAGGCTTGGCTGAAGGCAAGGAAGGCGCCTGGTCTAGGAATGGTCTGGATGACTTGGACAATGGACATCTCACTGACAACCAAGATGTCCCCAAGACCAGAGCATTTCCTAAAGTTTCTGTCGTGGGTAATACCTCTCCACCCATGGTCTAGACTTTGGCATGATCTTAAGGAATAAGAGGTTCACCTCCAAAGAACATGCCTGAGGTAAATGTCCCAACAGCCCTAGAAGTGAGGGGCAGTTTTACAGAATGAGTGAAAAAGAAGAAATGTAACATCTCTTACCCCAGTAATGTGGGGCTGATATCAGTAATCTACAATTTAAAAAAAATTTAGATCATCTCAATTTCAAAATAACTCTTTTGTAGGCTTTTGTGCCAATGCATGTGCCACTGAGACAAAATGGCTCTCACTGAATGTTATTGCTTTTATTAAGTGTGCAAGGCCTCAAATCACCAAAATATTAGTGTAAGCATATCTCAGGGCTTCTATGACCCCAAGGACAGGCCAAATATAATTCCTTCTTACCGCATGCTTTATCTCTCCCCGAAGACACTAGCTCATTCCAGGTAAAATCTGAATAATTTACCTTTGCACCATGGTTTATCATACTAGGTGATCAATAAGTGTCCCACAAACATTAAAACTGAAGGCCATTTCACTCCTTAATTTCGGAACTTAATTTGGGGACCTGAGTCAAAGTTTCTTTTGGGAAGAGAAAAATCAGGGCAGCAACACAAGCATTCTGATTTTTTGGTTTCTTCTATTTCTCCCTGTAAATGCTGACCTCCAAAGTAGTCTTTTCTGAGCCACGTTATTGTTTTTTGAGTCACCTGAGATGATCATCATCAGTTGTATGGAGAGAACAGGGAGGTAAAGAAAACACATCTCTTTATTGTGGGCAATGTGTGCATGACGTGGGTGGGAATTTTTTTGCTGAGTAAGAAACCTTGAAGGGTCCAGAGTCCCAGCAGGTGACATGGCAGACCCATAAGAACTGGGGCCCCAGGCAGAGTCCCCATTAATCCTGATGAAAGAAACATTATCCCATTTCATTATTAAAATCTTTCACTTGCCTTTGGAATGAAAATCGCCAGCAAATGTCAACTGCATGAAAGTACACACGTGAGAACATAAACTTCTCTGTTTCTAGCATCTTGCCAAATCAGTTTTATTCTTGGCAAGTTATGCCCCAGTGAAGGACAGAAACAAAGATGTCCCAAATAATCCAGACAGCAAATAATACATTCACGGGTAATTAACTATTGACTCATCTCTCTGGCTCTCTGATACATTTTTTTTTTTTTAACATAAGCCAACTTCGTTTCTGCTGTTTCCATAACCTTCATATCATCCCTACTTAGACTGATGTGGCTTTTCTATCAGTGAGGCTGTCCTGTCCCTCTCTTGGCACCAAAAGGAACACTTTCCTTACCTTGCCAAGTACCATCTGCTCTCAGGGCCCTGTACATGCTGTTCCCTCTGCCTAAAACACTCTTCCCCACATTTTCCCCTGGACATCAGCATCCACTCATCCAAGATTAAAAGTCCTTCCTCGTATAGCTTTGCCTGGACCTCCATGCAGGATGCTGCCCCTGGGGGTTGTGTTGCTGTTCTTTGCACAGTCACTGTCCAATATCACTCACTCAATTGTAGGGTTCTTTGTTGCCTCCCTGGTAAGAGGTGAGCTCCACAGAGCGAGGTCCTCTTCTAACGTGTTCCTACAGCTCAGTCTGTGGCACAGAGCACAGGGCCCAGTCATAGAAGAAGCTCATGGTTATTGTTAAACAATGGACAGATGGATGGATGGATGGACGGATGGATGGATGATTGGATAGGTGGATGGATGGGTGGATGGATGGATGGGTGGATGGATGGATGGATGCATGGACGGATGGTTGGACAGATGGATGGACAGACCAACGGATGGATGGATGGGTGGGTGAGTGGATGGATAAAACCTCCCATTTTTTCATGATTACCCTGTTTACAGCCCTGTGATAGGCTCTTTACATAGAGTGTCTGTCATCCTTACAACACCAGGCATGGTATCATTTATGCCCATTTTAGAAAGGAGGAAGAGGAAGCTCAGAATGACCAGCACTTTAACTTGCCCAAGGACACTTCATGATTAGGTGTTGCATCCAAGATTCAAACCCACACCTGCATGAGCCCAGATCTCCTCACCATTCCACCATTCAGCCCTACCTCCCCCAAGCAATCAGTTATTCTACTTCTTCATGTCATCCTTTCAATGGTAGAAAGATTCTAAACAGCTCACAAAAACTAAAAGAAAATTAATTCATAGATTTATAATACAATGAATTTATGAAATTGAGTTAACTAAATGAGATATTATTTGTAAAAACAACCTTCAGAGAGGTGCCATTAATATTTCCCGAACTTCAAGCACCTGAGTGAGTGTTTGTGGGTGAGAGAAGTCTGCCTCCTGGAGGAGGTCTGTGGTATTGCATTGAACCTAGGCGTTTGGTAAATCAGCAGGAACAGACTCACAGGATATGTTTTTTGTACCTTGAAGGAGAAGAGAAAGAAAAGGAAGATGAAGAGAAAGAGGGGATAATGACTGCCACAGTAATAAAAAGCACAAGGGTGACAACACAGGCTCACGATGGTGTAATTTGCTTTATTATTTAGAAAGTACCTTTGCATTAATTTCATCTAAAGTTATGTATCATTATTGCATTTCCAAAATTGTTTGGGGTCCAAAAGGCTCTGCTTCTTTGGTTTCAGCACACAGAGCACAGGCTGGCTGGGTTCTGGCTGAGTCTCGCTGTCCTTTCCTGGTCCAGTGCCAGGTTCACCACGTGACTCATTCCCTCATTAATGGGAGGAATTAAGGCAGTGACCAGGAGAACAAAAGGAGGAGTTCTTGGCACTCCCCTCCAGATTGAGTTCCTTCATTCCTGCCACATCAGAGACCAGCCAACAATGGCTGCCTCCACCATGAAGCTGGTGACAGTCCTCATGCTGGTGGCCCTCCCCCTCTACTGCTATGCAGGTGAGCAATGACAGGGAAGGCAGGCCTTGGGCTAAAGGTTGTTGTCAGGGCCCCTATGGAAGAATTCCTGGTCCCCAAACCCCGGTACAGGACAGCCCCAGCATAAAGTGTCTGGGTGTAATAGCCCAAAGGATTATCATTAATTCCAGAAAATTAAGGTAGTTTCCTCATGGGCTGTGCCTCCGCCATGGAGCTGCATGTAGCATCTCATGCCATTCAGGACAGATCACCATCATCACAGGTACCATGAAAACCAGGAGGCGTTTGGGGATTGAATATTAGAATTAGGCATTTCTGTGGGACAAGGGAAACATATGCTTTGATGGCCCCCTGTCATTTGCATCAAGCTGGGTTTCCTAAAAGAGGTACTCATGGAGTTTCCTTAAATGTGGAAGGAAATAGGAAACCTTCCAGGAGAAAAGTCTCGGGCTACAGGTGTGACCCAGTGTCCTGCATCAAGTGGGGGGTCCACTCTTCACACATCTGCAGAGTTGATTTGAGCCTACTGGGGTACCCCTTGCTCCCAGTCTCTTCATGATCAATGCTAACTGGGGAGAACTCACACTTTCTGGAGGTTTCCTTCTAGCAATGAAGATCCAGAGGGAGGAAAATGCCCTGGCAGCCAGAATCTGATCTTCAATAATAGTGTGCTTTGTTGAGTTAACCAACCTGTTTTAATATCTCACCTCATTTGTTCCTGAAGTAGGTGCAGATGTGTTAAAGGTGATAAGTTCGAGGTCAACTAAATAGAAAATTGAAGAACCAACAGTAAAACCCGGCTCTTGAATCCAATTCCAGAGCACATTCCCCTATGAAACTCAAATAGCCAAAACAGATCACTTCATGAGCAAGAATTCTATTTGTGTGCTATTTTTTTGCAGAAAATAATTAGTGTCAACAGAGCTAATGGACAATATTCTAGACCAAATACATCTACAATAGTGGGAAATCCTACTTGATGCTCTGAATGATAATAGTGAAGCATCACATGACTCTGAACAAAAAAAGATCAGATAATATTTAATATGTTGCACTAAGTCAGAGCACCTCATTTCTTGAGCGTCGTCCTTAATCATGGTTGCATAATGTTGGGCTCTGGGTTGTGGAGGCAGGAAGGTGGTGGAAGGGAGATGTTTTAGGGTTTAAAGGAAATCCCAGATCCTGAATTTACTCTCCTAGGGATGAGAACTCAAGATCATTCACCATAATCTGTCTGAATGCATGTCTCTACTGCATGTAAGAAGATGACAAACATCATAGTGATGCTCCAAAAAGGGTTCATACTTCCATAATTGAGCCCACTTTTGCATGCTTTCCTCCCAGGTTCCGGCTGCCAACTTCTCAAGGATGTGGTTGAAAAGACAATTAATCCTGAACTGTCCATGACTGAATATCTAGCAGCTCTTCAAGAGTTCATATCAGATGAGGCCACTGCAAAGGCTGGAGAGGAATTCAAGCAATGTTTTCTCAACCAGTCAAATGAAACTCTGACCAATTTCAGAGAGATGATGGTAATTTCAGTTTTTTCTTATGTGCTTTTAAACCACTGGACAGGGACAAGCAGGCTCTAAGTTTGTCACTAATTATGACAGATCAACGGTGAACATGCCTTATTTTATCTTAGAGAATTTAACTGTGGTGAGTCTGATGACTTTGAGACCAAGAAAGCCATCAAGGCCCCAGTGCTGATTTGCCTCTTCACTTTGTGGAATCTTTAGTGAATGATTGAAAAGGACAAAAGAAGGAAAGGATCGCTCGTGAAAACTCTTACCTAACTCTCAGCTCCCCAGTTCACACACACACTCACACACACGTATTTTTTTTTTAATTTTTTGTTTATTGCAGTAACATTGGTTTATAACATTGTAAAAATTTCAGGTGTACATCATTGTACTTCTATTTCTGCATGGACTAC